GGACTTTGAAGCCAGAAGCCTCCGCATCGCCAGGGCCAAGGTGTACCAACTGAAGTGGACCAGATGGGGAGACAGACATCTAGAAGCTTATTGGAGGTATACAGGGCATGTAGTCAGAGAAGGGTTACGGGAAGGTTCGTCGGTGGCAGGGAGGTTGGCGAACTTCAGACCGCTCACATGGTGGGAACAACAGCAACAAGGGCAGGAAGGGGCAAAACATCGCCGTCATTTTCCGCTCCTCATGAACACAGAGAGAAGAATCTCGAGGGTGATAGGGTCAAGTGCATGGAGAACGGCAGCGTCCAACCGGGCGCAATGGAAGGAGTTTGAGAAAACATGGATCACGCAAGAAAGCATACCATGGTCGTCGGGTAGGCAACCGGCCTTGACTGCATGATGAGTCCATGTGCGCATGAACCGCGGATCAGCTCTGCAGTGACAGCACAGCCCTCAGAGTGTACCAACCTGAGTTGCAGCCATGGCAGGCCACACGATCTACAAGTATCTCCACGTGTTTCTTCTGTGGCCCTTCCGGGTCATGGCTTTCAGTGACGACATGATCAATTTGTCTCCTCAAGGGAGAGTTTGGGATTGTCAAAGAGATGGGCTTCTTCGTGAAGATGGAGTTCACATGTGTAACTTTTCAGTTTTGATGTGGCAACCGGAAGAATGGCGTAATGGACGGCTTCTTATGCAGCTGCCTGAGCGAGAGCACTACTGCCAAAAGGGCTCGCTTGTGATGATCGATGCAAAGATGGAAGAAAATGAGGCGGTCTCCACGCGCAGGCAGCCTGAACAAGGGCTCCAACCCCAGGAGGGCTCGCTGCCGAGGATTGGTGTCGAGATGGAGGAAGATATGACAGCGTTCGTGCAACGGAAGAGAGGACGAGCGCATACCCCGCGGAGGAGAAGAAGGAATAGGGCGCACAGGGAGGAGGAGAGGCAGAGACAAGAGAGGCGGCGTTCGTGGGCAACAGCCGCGGGTTCCAGCGCAGCGTCTACGGAGACATGCTCAAGGCGACCGCTCGGCCCCAGCATCTGCAGTGGCCCCAGCAAACTCAAGCACCGTCCCAGACATTCCACCACTCGGCGAAGGGTCCGCCAACATCGCGCGGCGGAGTGAAATCGTGGGGTTGCAAGACCCCATGCTGGAAAATGACCGTGTGCTGGACAACCAGACTGTGGAGGCGATATTCGACAATTTGAGAAGTGTGTCGCCGGGGAGGCGTGCTGCCATGGTGGCGCAGATCGTCCCATTTTTGGGCGCCTTTTTGGCGGAACTACTTCGCGCCATCAACTTGGCGCAGATGCCGGCGCCAGCTGAGACAGAAACCATTGAGGACGAAGACAGTGTCCTCATGCAAGTTCTGCAGCCGCAAGGTTTCCAAGACGGTGACACCCTGGAGCCATGTGACCTTCCTTACGCAGGAGTTCAACCCAAGCATTCCGTTTGGGTCGAAACTCTCTCAGTTGCAGGGACACTTGAGCGGCTTTGACAAGACACAGTGTGAACAGGTGGCATGTCACTTGCGCACTATGACCAGGCGCCTGCGGACCTTGGCAGGTGTCACGCCGAATCTGATCACGGACAGGACTGAGATGCAGCTGAGAGTCCTGATACCATACCTCAATGGCGGCAGAACCCCTGATAGCTTGGCACCTGAGGCATCAAGCGCTGGATCAAGACCTGATTACAACCTGTGCCGCTTCAGCTGGATCGTCCGGTGCAGCGGCCTCCACTGAAATGGTCAACATTGAGGACACGCAGGAGGCGGGACAAGAACCTGTGCCAGAATACCGCGTCGGAAGGGTTGATGGTGGCGTCAGATCAGGAAGCAGCGGAGTTCCGTGCCCATGACAAGGCAGTCCGCGCAGAGATGCAAGCCCAGGAAATGGCTGATAGGGAAGCTTACAACCAGCATGAAGCTTCGCTGGCGCAGAGGTGGGACGATTGGGCTATAATAACTTCTGAGCTGAACCGACCCCATCAAGCCCCCAGTCGAAAGAGAGTGCGCGTCACAGTATGTGCAGGCACAGGGTCGGGGAACGACATTGGTGAGGCGTGCGTTGAGGGGGTCATTGACCACGACCAGCAGGCCACGATCTCCTTCAATGTTCTGGAGACCCTGCTTGGAGGACTTGGTCAGGCTACGAGCGGGAGCACGGTAATGGGGAGTCATGCCAATCCGCAGCTCGCCAAGTATGCAAGAGATCCTACCAGGACTACCTGCGATGGTTCAAGACTTCTTGTGTTCCCTGGAAGGTCGTCATTGGTTGTGGAGGTTCAGTGCGGGCATGGCCAGCGTGAACATGGTTGCAGAGAGATTTGGTCATGAAATTGCGGAGGCATTCCAGCTGTGGACGGCGCTGCAGGAAGACACAGAACGCGAAGTCAGGAACATCGCAGACCAGCCGCTTGGGGCAGGAGACGGAGAGGGCGCCTCATCTTCAGGGAGTTCGACCGTGGCCGTGGAAAGGGAAGACCATGCGGCGGACTCATGCGAAGGGTCAGCAGTGGCGAGGATAGCGGCAGAGGATGAGGGTCAAAGAGAAGCACAGGAAGTTGAAAGGGTTGAAGAAGCGAACATGGCTATGAATGCAAGCGGTGGTGACGCACTACATGAGACTGAGGGCTGCGAGGGAGCGGATGAACGCCCAGGCGAAGTGCATCCTGGCAACCAGCTTTCGCTGCAGGAGGAACATGCTGATGCTACAGGTGTGGATGGTTGCGGAGGTGGAGTGTGCTCCACGCTACCTGATTCTCTACCTGAAGGAGACCATCTGGAGCTACAAGAAGGGCTTGAAGCTGCACTATGTCATCGTGGTGGCGGCGAAAGTTTGACAGAGGGTGATGCTCCTGCTATGGTGGTAGAAAATACCAACAATGGCAATGGCAATGAAGAAATGGACCTGGCTGATGACATGGAAGTGCACGGGGCTGATCGGGAACGGTACCAAGTACCAAGGGTCTCGAGAATGGCGTCGTGTACTACAAGCATGGGATGATCCCGCAGTTGGAGCTGGATTGGAGGACTCGGCCCTCAGCTGCGGAGAGTTTGAGCGTCCTCTCGTAGGCGGTCAGGCTGAAGGTGAAAATGAAGAAGCCAGTGGAAGCTCAGGGCAAGATGCAGGGCACGGGGGTGTAGACGTGGAGAGTGGAGCTGCTGCTGGGCTGACTGGTGGGACTTCGTCTTCGAGCCGCAGAACGACCTAAAGGGTTGGCTGAAATGAGTGCACACTATTACACTGGCGTGAACAGGGGGACATTCCATGTCACAGAACGCTGCGGTTATGGGAGAACGCATGCTTTTTCTCTCGTTGGTTATAGACTCTATTATAGACCAGGCGCACATATATCTATACATGCCTTGAGCGTCTCTCTACTGGAGGAGGATGAGTTTTCATCCCTCCATCTGTGGGTCTCCTTTCGGAGAAAAACAAGACACCATCGGACGCGCGGGTGAGGATTCCTCCTCGCCACACTTTCACACTGACTCAGTGAGACTCACAGGCCGTTTCTCTTGTGGAGGAGGAGGAGGCCAGCAAGAAGGGAGTGCTCCAGCATAGATTTGTTGCACCCTTTCGTTTTGCCTCTCTTGAGCCTGTGGGGTTGATGATTGGAGGGCCTGCAGTGTGCAATGATGTGACTTGTGGGTTATGGAAGTGTCAGATTTGTGTGCTCTCTGGAGCTTCTGTTTCCGCCACTTGCGGATTGCTGCAGGGCCGTGTTCCAGAACATTTCCGTAGACATGTGCTGCGGAGAAAAGGTCCCATAAAAAAAAAACAACAACATCTCCAAGAGCAGAAGAGTGCGTGAGTGCAGTTGAAAGATAGTTACAGTCGGTCATATTTGTTCTTTTACGCACGTGAACGGTCCTGGGGCCTTTTTCGATGTGATGCCAAAATTGGTAGGTCCCCTTCTGCTTTGGGTCTATGGACCGGGAAGGGGCATATGCAAGCACTGGGATGTGCAAAGCACAGCGCATGGCGCCGGGTACCAAACTTGTCCCAGAGCGGCCGCCAGCAGGGATCGGACTTTGCAGCGAAGGAAAGTGAAAGTGAAAGTGAGTGCAATACGCACCGCAGCACTTCGTCCCAATCTTGGGCCAGATAGGCCCAAAGCCCCCTGGCACCCAAAGTTCCTAGAGTTTAAGGTGAGGGTGCCCGCAAATTCACCAGCATATGATGACAAGGAAAAGGAGATGTCGTTGGGATGTCATGGGGCATCGGGAAGCGCCCTTCGCAGTAAACACTTGACGACTGAGGACAAGGGGCTCAGCTACTTGCTGCTCCTGCGCCATCATGACTGTACTCAAAAATGTAGTACTTAAAAATGTAGAGTTTTAGGCCAATGAGGTCTCGTTGCGTCCCTATCAGCGCCCCCTGGGCCCATCCTGCCGCAAACCAAAAACGCATCGGCAAATACTTCACTACACGATCCAAAAGTCGAAGTTTGCGATTGCTGAGGCTCTCTCCCAGACACTATCATCAAAGTTTCGAGCAGCTGCAACTACACGCAACCGCAAGGGCAAAAGCCTGCCGATACCCGAACTGGAACCCTGAAGCCATGATCAGGATTTGTGGAGCGATCATTGTTGTTCCTCTTCGGGGTTGAAGCTCGCGGCCTCAAAGGCTTCAAGTCTTGATTTTTTTCAAACAGAGCTAGCCCTGTCCAGGGCTTAGGGTCTACTGGGTACTGGGGTATTCCCTCCAACCACGGCAAGCAGTTTATCTACACACACGCACACACGTTCTCGCACTGAGGTGGGCCAGTTCCTTGAAGGTAAATTTCAAACAATGAGCTTGGAATGGCCATATTGTCAAGACGAATTGGCAAGCTGCATCACACGCAGAGGATGGATTAGAGAGCAGGATTTGAACTAGTCCACCCGGGGATCGGCAATGTCACAAGTGTCTGCTGCGAAGGATCGACCTTTACAGCTCTCTGCAGCTCTCGGCTCACTGCCTTGTTGAGGGATCGGTGAGCCCGGTCTCCAAAGATGCAGCCAAGGCTCAGCTCAGAAGTCCTTTGTCCCCGCTCTGATGCTTTGCTCCAAAGAGGTCAAGATCCGTTCGCCATGCCCTGAAGACGAAGGACGACCTTGAGAAGGCCTCTTGCTCCGTTCTTGATGCGTTCTTTGTTGTGATCTTTTTGGAAGGCAACAGGCAAGCCCGACCCAAAGCAACGATTAAACCGCTCTATTGACATCACCCTCCCAAAAGCCCTAAACACCCACCCGCACAGCACCCCAATCCAACGACTCTGAAGCCCAGAAACGCCAAACATTCCAGCTCCTGCAATGCTTCAACCTTGTCGCGGAACACCACAACACCTCCTCAAGCTTGGTTTCTCAGGGACTGTCCCGATACCGCCGATACGCTAAAATCATCTAAAATCCTGAAACCCATGAAAGCTGAAACCACCAAGGCCTACAACTTTTAACCTGGTATATTCTGCAGCCTTACAATGCAAAAGCCATAAAGCGCGATTCCTCAAACTTCAAAATCCGTAAGACAACCCCAAGCTTCAGCACCCTAAATTTCCCGAACCCTAAATCTACGGGACTTTAAAGCCCTGTACCAGGCTCCTTGAATCCTTGAGCCTGGCACTCTCAAGCACCTACCTCAAAGGGAATAGCAAAGTCCTGAATTCAAAAAAAATTAGACACCAAAACTCCAACTCGTACCAACCTTGATCCTGACCCGTCGGTCGCCCCATCCCGTATAACCAGAGCTCTCTAAGGCTCTTTTGCTTGAAATCCAAATCCAACTTGAAGCAAGGAGGGGGAGAATTACCAGACGTTGAGCAAACACAGTAAACCTGCTTCTCATCGGGGCCGCGGTGCCCAGCCACCAGGAGCGGCTGCGACATCGCTCCGGGGGATTCTTCCGCTACGAGATTCTTGGCAGATCGAGCCTTCAAGCCCGTTCGTAAATTGGTGCATGCTTCACATGAGGAACAGAGATAATCCCATCGATGTGGTTTTGACCTTGGCCCAATGATTGGCTTCTGCGCTGCCCTGCTTAAAACTAATTGAGAGGTCGTCAACTGCCCCGGCTACATCGGTCCGAGGGAGAGAATGACTGCGGGAGCCCACTGTGAAGAGGCAGCTCCAGTCAAGGGCGTCTACCGAACTCAGGCTGGGGCACAAACTTGCAGATGGCTTGTTAAATGGGCAGGTGAATTATATGGAACGTGAACACGCCAAAGTTGTGCGAGATGAAATCACAGAGGCACAGCGAGCTGTGATCCGCTTACTTGTCTTGTTTAATGGCTTCTGAGTGTGACGTTCTGTGCTGAGGTTCGACGCAAGGGTAAATACGATAGAGAGGAGCACAGATGGCGATGCATTGCCAACGCAGATCAGGTAGGACTTGTGAACTCCACTGTGCAAGTCAACTGTGTCCAAGGGCTTGAGTTGCTCGCAGGGAGATGTAGATCGCGTGGTGCGAATGCAGCATGACCCCATGATGGGTAGAAAGAACGTCTCAGGCGCTGGTGGAATTCTGCCGTGCTCTGTGGTCGTAAGAACATTTTCCAGGCCAGCCTTTCAACATCGTGAACCACTGCCCTCAGCCAAGATCTGCCAAGCTGTTGTGACAATGATTCCAAGCTGTCTGCGCAGCTCAGGCTATGACAGAACTCCAGCTGGGGCGCAGCTAGAACACCATGACAACATGATCCGGCTTCTTGGAACCGAAGCTTTCACTCTGTCTTCTCATGATGGGATGGGCACTGCGTGAATCTGAATGCCGACATCTGGAAGCCTTGGCATCGGTTCCGTGCGAGGTACCGGTCGAGAGTGCGTGAGGCGGCACTCGCAATGCGCAATCACTTGGGGTGTGGCTCTGAAGTCCAGCCTATGTTCCAGACCCGGGACGTGGGTGTAACATCCTGAAAAGCTTTGAGGTTCAATCCGATTATCGGCGAGCAGATTCGACCTCAGATTTGTGTTGCTGATGCACCAGACTTCGACTGTCAAGTCATGGACTTCAAACAGCAGCTGGCCAAAGCAAACAAGGACTCACGGCATTTCGCTCCCCCCTCCTCCACGGCCACCGCCTTTGGCGCTGGTGCGGACCTCCTGAAGGTTGCAGGTGTTTTGGTCAAGCTCGGTGTCTGTTATGTCTGAGGCATGAAGACCATGAAGCACCTCAGTGGCATTCACGAGGTGATGGGTGGGTCCTCGAGGTTTTGCCTTTTGGAGGTTTTCAAGAGGCTGGGTCTGCACATGCCGGCACCATGTACAGAGATGCAGGGGTGCCACTTGCAGAATTGCCAACTTCTAGTTTCACCCATGGCCCGTGCACCCATCGCACAATGCTGTCTCACTCTCAGCATGCCCCAAACGGCTCTTGCATGTTGCGTCCTCAACTGATGGATGCTGCAAAATCGTGACTTTTGCTTGGGGACCATTCGCTGAGCCAACCAAGTGCAACGAACTGTAACTACAACAAACTGCTGGAGGATGTGTGCAAAACTCCATAAACTCCATGCCAAAGTATTTTGAGCGCAGCACGCAGGTGCTGCCTCCGTACCAAGCTCAGAACGATACCTGGGCCACCACTTCCTGAGCAGTTCCCTGGCTGGCTCCAAACGCCAAACTTTCAACAAACACAAACTACAAGAGAATGAACAAATGATCTGGCACGCCCAAAGAGCCAATCTTGTGGATATTGGTGCTCGGGCCCGACAACGGACTGGCACGAAGGCACCTCTTGCAAATCAATGCCCGGTCTTCTAGGACGAGATAACAGCAGCCCATCCAGATGTGCTTGGGAGGACTGCAAACAATGATTTTGGCACAAGATTCGCTGTTTCACTCGGGGCAACGTGTGTTTGGCAATCACAGATGTGCAGAGCAGGTTCATGTGTAGGAAGAGGGCAGATGTAGCAACACAGTCTCAGACCTGAAGCCGGCGTTCCCCTTACATAGATCTAAATATGAATATTATTACCAAGCATCAGATCTGAATTCGGTTTTCCTGGTGGCTTCTGCCGTGATGCCATCAGCCAGATCCTTGGTCGAGCTGTGTGCCTGTTTCGGAAGTTGCTTCGTACTCTCCTCAGGAGCTGCTCTCCGCACTTTTCAAGCGCCGCTCGGACGTGGATTCTGCCGGGCAGCAGGGTCCTCGGGGGAGGGTTTCCGGGGTCAGTCGACTTTCGTAGAGTTTACGTTGGATGCGAATGTGTGTTAGCGAAGTTTTACGAAGTGGAGCTGAGGACCTGGGAGTCCAGGCCCGAGGAGTCCTCGGCAGATGCTGGAGCGCAGCTTGGCCGACGGAGTTTAAAGTCTCTTCGCGCTTACCGAACATATCCCTTTCTTTTCCTGTCCTTCTCTTTCCTTCGTTGGACGTCAGGTCCCACCTTGCAGGTCTAACCTTCGACGCGCCCTCGGCACAGGCGGGCTGACACAACGCATGGGTGCCCTGATGCACAACAGCAGCACTGAATCAGGAATGGCTGAAGCAGCTGGAGCCGTCGTGGAGACCTCAATCCGTTACTTCTTGCACTCTGACATTGTGATGATGTCCTAGGCCAGAAGAAGATCTCCTGGCTGATGCTCTGGTCGAAGGAACCTTCGATGTGAGACCTTGCTGCGCCATGCTTTGCAAGTTTGCCAATTGAGGACTTGCCGAGAGGCAGAAGGCTGCCCCGTCGCATGTTCCTCGTGCTGTGAAGCCGGAGGCAGGTGACGTTCTATCGACTGCCCCGCTGGAACATGTTCTATTGTGCTAAATTTCATGCTTGCGGTTTGGACGGCGTCCTAGTGCAGGAGTCGCGCCGCCTGAAAGATTTGGTTGCAGAGCTTGGCTCTCTGCAAGACCAGTTTTCCAAGGCAGGATTTCTGAACAGAGCGGCCCAGTACCATTCCTGGCATTGCAGGAAAGGGAGCGGCTCGGAGCAGAAAAGGAGGAGCCTCCGTGAGTTGCATGTCTAACCTCTGAACTGCTTTCTCAAAAGCTTTGCAGGAGATCCGGGCAAAGGCGGCTGACATTGCAAGGAGAGAAGCGGAGTTGGAGGCGGCTTTGTTTTTCAAAGACTGGTAGTTGCACTACTTGTGTTTTGCAGCCAGGCTGAGAAGGAGGCCCAGCGAAAGCGTGAGGACGCCCGGCGGAACTACCCGCAGCCCGCAAGGGGCCAATGGGAACCGAAGATCAGACGACGCAAAGAGCAAAGTGCCCTTTTAGCTGAGGCCTGGCTGGCGCACCCGGCACGTTCCCCAAGTCTGCTCGAAGAGCTTCGCAAGAGCTTCGATGAACATATGTTCAGTTTTTTTGTGTTAAAGTCTCTGGGTGGCCAGGAGAAAGTTGATGACTGCATCAACATAGCAGTGGTGGGCAACTCTGGTGTCGGCAAATCCCTGCTGATCAACAGGTGCGTTGTGGTGCAACTTGCAGAGGGACATGGTGATACAGCGGATGTTCGCAGGTTGCGGAAGCTTCGGCCACAGGCAGAGGGCTGGGCTGCGGTAGGAGTCAATGAGACGACCAAGGCACCCACTATGCACCAGCCTTACATGGGCGAGTGATGCAATAGCAGTGCCTCGCCCGCCGCAGAGTAAGGTATCCATATCCAAGTCAGCACGTGCCTCAGAGGATCTGAAACGTTCGAAGCAAGGTTGAAGACTCTAAGAGTGCATTGGAGATCCCAGGCCGCTTGTGCGACTTTGGGATCTTCCTGGCGCCGGAACGGCGGCCGTGCCTGCTGAGAGCTACCTCCAGGATTGCTGCATGTCCGGCTTCCATGGAGTCTCATCATGTCATTGCCGGAGGACATGGGGCTGCGCTACTTTGACGAGGTCATCGTGGTCACGGCCGGGCGTTTCACAGAGATGGAGGCAGAGATACTCACCAAATCTAATCTGCACAAAGTCTGTCTAAGTTCAGGTAGCACTGCGGGGCGAGCTGGAGAATCACGGGGTCCCATTTCGCATGGTGCGGACCAAGGCGGAACATGAGTCTTGACATTTTCCGGACGTTGCCCGCAGCTCGTTTCAGGTGGACCAGGACATTGCCAACAACAAAGAGGTGACCTCATAAGGGCCTAAGCCCTGCCAATCCCACACACGATAGCTTCAGGACAACTTCGCGGAGAAGCATGAGACCCTGAAACAGATCAGGGATGACTTGGAGAAGACCCACAAAGTGGAAACATCAAGCGACTGCCCAAATGTTGTTGGGACTTGCTGTGGCTGCAGGCATTCTCTTGGTGTCGCTAAGGTCTATACCTCGTGTCATCCAGAGACCCAGATGACTATGATATGCTAGCATCCGAGACAGGAGCATTGAAACAGGCTTTGCCGATCAATGCTCTTGTACAGGCAGCAGTGCTTGCGCTTCTTAAGGGGCGCTCCTTCCCGAAGCCCCGAAGCTCTCCAAGGCTCAAGAAAACCCAGGTTCCCAAGTCCGTGCGGAAAACCCGTAGTTGGTCCGCTCACATTGGTCGTTCCAATGGCGGGCTGGCCCACAGCCCTTCGTGGTGTGCGGCGGCTTGCAACCGTTGCTCAGACCGCAGGGTCGGCTGGGCCTGGGTCACTGCTGTATCCCATGACAAACCTCTCCACTCTTCGAGCAGGCTGCAGCCTGCTCAAGCCCTGCTTGCGCAAGCAGACAAAGAGCAGTAGTTGTTCAGTAGTTGCTGCTCCTAGTTGCTCGAGTCTTTTTTCTGCAGGTCAGCCCCTGCGCATTGTAGCTGGAAAGGGGGCTGTGGTCCGCGATGATGCCGGAAAGGAGTACCTTGAAGAGCCCCGGTTTCGAAGTTCGTTTTTTTTTTTGGGGCGGCTTCATGGAAGTCTGGGTGTCTGAAACCTGAGGCCATGGCAGGGCTTTGGTGCACTGCTCTTGGGTGGGGTCACGAGGAGCTGGTGGAGGCAGCAGCGCAGCAGATGAGGAAGCTGCGAAGCTGCTTCTCATGCGCATCTTCTGGCGCATCCATGTGCTTCTTCATGCTCCTTTTGATGAGGAGCTTGTCCTACTACCACTGCTTCGCAGGCAGGCAGGTTCCAGTTGCAGAGGACCGAGTCATGCGCAAGTGGAAAGTTTGAGGTTTCATTTGGAGCTCCAGAGCAGGAGCTGGCAGACAAACTCATCAGCCTGGCTCCTGACAATCTGCAGGGAGGCAAAGTCTTCTTCGGGATGTCGGGTTCGGACGCCAACGATACGCAGCTTGGTCTCACCCCTCACATCGCAGCATTTAGAAGGTTATAGAATCTTTTTTTTGCTGCAGGCAGGTCCGGCTGCTGTGGCACTACAATACCGTCAGAGGTCTGCCACAGAAGAAGAAGATCATCTCCAGGGTCAACGGCTATCACGGAGCAGCTTGGTCGACGACTTCGATCACCTTGGTTGCCATGCTGCTATCGTTGCTATCGTTTGTCAGGTCACTTTGGCCAGCGGATCCCTCACGGGTCTGCCACATGTGCACGCGCAAATGGGGCTTCCGCTCGACTTTGTGCGACATGTCAGCTGCCCTTCCTTCTACCGCCACTCTGCAGTTTGGAGACGCTCTGTGGTTTTGGAGGGAGAGCACTCGCACCTCATCTTGCCTGAGGATATGGCCAGGACGGCGAGTCTGAGACTGACTTTGTGCAACGACTGGCTCAAGAACTGGAAGACGCGATTCTCGCTGAGGGTCCCAACCAGGCCGCTGACTTCACATTGGCAGCATTCTGCTGCATGTTGTGGCCATCACTCTCCAGGTAGCAGCCTTCTTTGCTGAGCCTCTGCAAGGAGCAGGCGGTGTGATCCTACCGTGCCTTGATGGCAGATCAGCTCAAGCAACAGTCTCCAGCGGAAGCTTGCTAGCATGTTGGCCGTGTGGGGTCTGCAAGACTTTCTGCAGTAGGCCAAAGCTAGACATCAAGCCTGAAGAGTATTTTGCCCCAGTTCTGCTGTGCCCTTCTGGTGACTGGCATCTGTTGGCGCAGGCCTTCCGGCTACTTCCCAGCTATGCGGGAGGTCTGCGAGAGGCGGCAGCGACAGCAAGATTTAGTAAGCTGCCGCACTGGAGCTGGCCAGGTATGATGTCATGATGGTCGGCGATGAGGTCATCACTGGCTTCGGCCGCACCGGGCAGATGTGGGGCTGCACTGCCTTCCAACAGACAGTAGATTTCTTGAGCTGTGCGAAGCAGCTTACATCGGGATACGTGCCACTCAGTGCGACTTGAATTTCAATAGCAGCAGACAGCTAAGCGCTTGGTCTGCGAGATCCATTTGCGAAATCTAAGGCCGCCATCATCCCCAAGTTTGCTTACGAAGCCATAGAAGCCTCTACTGAGCGCAGAGGCTCCGCGCCCAGTCGTCAGCCTACCTGTGGATTTCAGTTCGCTTCCTGCAGGCGGTGTCTTCGGCCATGGTTTTACATACACCGGCCATCCCGTGTCTTGTGCTGGCAAGGGCCTCAGCACTGTGGCCAGTGGCGGGGGAATCATGACGTCCTTGCAGAGTGAAAGAAGCTTTGACCTAGTTGCGCTCAAGCTGCTGGAGATCTTTGAGCGCGAGCAGCTGCTAGAGCCCCCTGTCAAGTCAGAGCTTTTTGTCCTCATTGTCTTGGCCTGGAATATCGGAGGCGTGTGGCGCAGCTTGCCCCGCACTTTCAGCGTCGGCTTCATGGCCTGGCAGCTCACCCGCTGGTGGGCAATGCACGGGGCATCGGCGCAAAGCTGAGAGAGCTTGTTTTTAAAAACAAGCAATTCGAGAGCTCAGCTCCGCTGAGCTCAGCTCCGCTGAGCTTTCGCTGAGGCCTCATCGGCGCCATTGAGCTGGTGAAGGACAAGCACAGCAAGCAGCCCTTCGAAGCCCATCGAGCCTTGGGAAAAGAAGATCCTCTCTCATGCTTGCTCTCATGCTTGCATTATGCTTGCTGTGTGAGTTTCACTTCGAGCTTCGAGGTGCTGTTGCGGCAAAAGTGGTGCAGTGCGCCCTAGAACGCGGGCTCATTGTCCGGGCACTGCCCAGCGACGTCGTGTCCGTTTGTCCCCCGCTGATCGTGACGCAGTTGGAAAAGAGCCAAGCAATTTCTGGAGCTTAGGCTTAGTATGCTAGCTTGGCAGCAACAGGGGCACAGAAGCAGTCCAAGCAGACATGCTGCCTAAGGTAAGCCCCGACGAGGTGGATGAGATATTTGACCGCCTGGAATCTTCGCTGACAGATGCAGCGCAGGAGTTGGCTGTGGACCGATGATCCGCACAACAAATCTTTTGTGTTCACATCAGTGGCCAAAGAGCTCTGAAGAACAAGCAGCTTAATCATCGTCTTGCCGTTTCATGTCTTGCCTTCACTCGGGCGAGGGCCAGAAGTGCAAAGCACGAACGCAAGCCGGAGAAAGGCATGTACGGAGCCGTCATAGCAAGTCGAGTGATTCAGTGTTGGCCCAGGCCTAGACTTCTTGCAGACCTATTCCCAGGTCTCAAGCGTCAGCCGGGATCACGGACAAGCAGCAGGAATTTGTCTGTGCGTACCATCATGCACTGTGCTCAGGTTGGATCCAGATGCTCCCGTTTTCTGCCCTGTTGGCACAGTGCAGGCAGCACAGGTGGGAAGTAAACAGACAGGACGCATTTTGGGGGAGGGCATGCCTGGGTAGGCGCGCCATGCGCCATCTGCCTGGACAGATGCATGGGCGCTGCCGCCCTGCCCTCAATGCTTTGCCATGCAGTCAGGGACTTTTCAATTCGTCCCCAAAAATCGTATGCAGAAGTAGCTGGGCCCAAGCTGGAGCAAATTTCGCTGAGGCCAGCGCTCTCCATAGCACTTTCTGGCCTTCAAGGTGGCTGGTGTGACGCATACCGCTGCGTCTACCTGGTTTCCAGCTTAGTTGCTTGTCACTTCGACTCAGCTGCAGAGCATGGCATTCATGCCGTACACTGACTGTACACGCAGCGGCTGGCCTTTGACATGGAGTGTCGCGTCGATTAGGTGCAGAATGACCATTGCCACGTCACTCTGAACTCGGGCCAATATACAGTGGTGCCCTTGTCCCAAGATGCACGTGCTGTCTGGTGGCTTCAGCTACTCGGCAGGAGAATTTAAAAGTTGATTGCAGATGATTGGTTTGTGGCGAGTCAGCGGTCGCCTTGCACGCAAGGCGCTGGTACGTTGACGATGAGGTGGGCTTCCAGCATTCTGGCCGAGGCCTTGTGAATCCTGGGAAATCCTTGCTGCAGGCTGTCGTGAGAGCCCGAACAAAGGGGGAACTCCGATGGACGCCTACCACTCCGCAAGACCAACCTCTTGTATGGCAGGGCGCCTGTAACATGACATGCCCATGCTCTAGTCTCCCGTGCTGTCGTACTTGTCTCTGTGGCATGTCCTGGGCAGCTTGCATGTTGTGAAAGGAGATATGACGTTCTGAGCCTGTCAGGTGGTACTACTGTTCGTAGACCTCCGACGTGGCTGACTTGCTGAGTGCCTTCTTGCTGTCCTCCCTTGTTGTTCGCTAGAAACGGTCAGCTGCGCTCCAAAGAGTCATTTGTGCAAGGGAATCAGCTCTACGTCCCCAAAAGTGGGAGATAGCTTTGATTTTAGCCGCAGCCTCGTCTCTTCAAACCCTCACATGCGGAGGGCTCAGTGGTGCAGATCATTGTTGTTTTAAGGTTATCCTATTCCGTTCACTGCGCCGCAAGAAGATGACAAGATGGCGGTGCAAACACATGCCATCCACATGATGACTTCAGTGATGGAGCTGCCAGCGGAAAGTCATGTCCTTTTTGAATTTGCTCTGGGCAGCAAAATCCTCACAGATCTTCGTACAGCCACTTGACCGAGTCTCGTCTCAAGGCACTGCACTTAGCAGCTATGCAGCAAGCAACAGCAAGCAACAGCCAGCAACAGCAAGCAGCAGCAAGCAGCAGCAAGCAAGCAACAGTAAGCAACAGGAGTATACAGCATCCAGCCTAGGGTAGGCATCGCTGCTCTTTGCCAGTTTTCATGGACGCTTGCGGAAGTTGCCACAGCTCAAGCAAAAAGCACTCGCTAGACAAGCTGACACCAGCGTCAGACGCTGGTGTCTCGTTCAAAACGAGTGAAAATGTTCCGAGCAATGGCTACGCCTCGCCGGCATGTGGCATTTGACATGTGATGATTTTGATGATCTTGCAGTACGTTCTTAGATTTAACTTTTGCATTTTGAAGTTTGACAGGGCGCAGCATCTCCAAGACGAGCAAGGCTCATGCAGCACCGCTAGCCGCTGGTGAATAGGGAAAATTCATTGAAGGCTTGGAAATGGAGGGGCTTGACGAGGAGCCTCTTATAGAAGACGAGGTGTTTGAGGCAGCCCGAGCATTTTTTGTCTTGCAATGAGAATCTTACTTTATTGCCTGTCTTATCTACGCCTTTGTTTGTTCGAGATCGAAGCAGCAAGACCTGAAGATCGTTCCACAAGAGCATGAGAAACACAAGCTGGTGACCATGAATCCCTTGAATTGCGCCGCAAGCTTTGCCTCTGCCATGAAGCGCCTACTTCTTGCTTCATGCCTTTCCACTGCCAGTGTCATCGCCCCAGTTAGCTTGGCGGCTGGGCGTCTGGGCGTAGCATGCGTAGCTCTCCAGCAGCCCGTTTGTTTCCGCCTCCGCCCAGGCAGGAATCCCTCGCTTGGAGATCATCAACGGATGTCCGCATGAGACAATGTGGATCGCACACCTGGCAAATGCCCGAAGCCAAGCTGCACCGGCTGCAAGTGAAACATCATGAACGGTACTGACGGTACTGATAGTTTTCGTGAAGCTGAGGTTGGCATCGGGTGCAGGGCTTGAGGGGCTGGTCAGTTGGGTTTTCAGCTGCTAAGCCGCTAAGCCAAGCATTGCCAAGCCTTGCCTAGGCCTGGCCCGATTAACCATGCCATCCCGCCACTAGGCACGTAGCTTCTGAAGCTGAAGCAGCTGGTGATGCAGCTCAGAGCGCAGTGCAGCGCAGGGAACATGATCTTCGACGAGACCGAGACAGATCAACTTGCTGGAGCACGCTACTGGCCAAAGATGGGATGCAACAAAGATGGGAATAATTGCCTTCTGGGTGGCTCCGGTGGTCCGGGGCAACACTGTGCGCCGCCCTCATCTGGAAACTTTGCACCTTTCTGCGTGCCGCAACCCAAAATTGGAAGTCATGCCCTTGGCCTAGAACGAACTCAAGAGCGATTACTCGCTGTGCCAGCCGCCAATCGACACAAAATTCGAGGCACTGCCAGTAAGCCCTTCTTGCGGCATCCTGGGAACATCTCTCTGTGCGGTCTAGGCCACTTGGGGCAAGAAGGCCAGTGGCTGCGTAGTACCTTCTACTTCAGATTTCAGCTGCTGAAGTCTAGAGGAAGGGATCTAGGATCAGAAGATGATGCTCAGGGTCAGCCCTGCAATCCTGCTGATCCTGGACAGATGGCTGAAGCCCCAGAAGCTGGTTTTGGTTTGGAAGCCTTAGTCGCTTTACAGTTTGTGGAGGGTTGGGTGCGTTTTGATCCCGAAACACCGCTGTTTTGGTGCGTTGGGGATGCAGGTCGCCTGGGCCTGGCCGGAGCACGGGGTGTCGTTTTGTCAATCCATGGGTAGTCTTGGAGCTTTTGAATCTCCGCAGCCGGTGACTCCTTAGGATGTTTCGGAGGATCTTGGACAATGCCCTAGCCTGCTGGTATGTGAGAAGTGCATCCTGTCGCTAAGCGCCGTAGCGATGCCCAAAACTCCTGCAGCCTGCAACCCACGAACCCCGAGTTTCGCACAGACTGTTCCGGGCCAGCTTTGTATGTCGCTTCCTAACTCCTCTGCAGGCTGTTTTGGTTCCCAGAAGCACCGCGTTCTTCTTGGTAGATCTACGCTTTCGACTGACTAGATGCAGCTTTGGTGGCATGATGTGTGTGTGTGTGTGGACAGATGCGACCAAAGGTCCTTCTGTGTCGGGGAGCAGAAGCTAACATGCAGCTGGATCAGAAAGCTACTATGAAGGGCAAGCCGATGCGCGTCGATTCCCCCTTGGTGGAATCTTTGCGCCGTGGCATGGCGCTTCAAGACTTAAGAACGCAATCTGTCAAGTCAGGAAGATACTCAAGAGAAAAGCATCTGAGACGGGCACGGTCTTGATGGATGTCTGTTAGGGGGTTCGGGTATGTCCAGCGGGGCTTTATGTCGTTGAGGCTGGCTGTGACTTCATTGACATGAGCTCCGGGCCCAGATTTTGATTTGGAAGCGGAGACCTAGCTTGGGGAATTTGTATGCTGTGGAGGCCTGGTCGACGGCTTCACGCTGCCTTTCAAGCTTGAGATTGTCTCAGGACAGTGTACTGGACAGGTGCACGTTGAAAATCATTGAGACTTTTTTGAAGTTCAAAGTTGTGAATCGTTCTGGAAGCTTATTTGCTTGTGGCAGGCGCCTCAGCCCGTCACAAGCTTGGATTGCAGCGGCCTCTCCGTGGACAAGTGCCCAGTGGATGATGACATAGGGAAGGGACCGACAAATATGCAGGCACAAATGGCACAACGCTGCTTTCACATCTCGGCGCGCTTGTAAGCAGCACCGTCTAGGCAATCAATCCCAAGATCAACAAGCCAATTGGCCTCTGGCTCAGCATGGCATTGCCTTGGGATATTACGTGGCGCATGAACGGATACGATCTGAGCCACCAACTGAAAGTTGTCCGGAGCTTAAGCCCTGATTAAGTGCAAGGCTGCTATGCTCCATGCTTAAAGCTCATCGACACGAAGTGGAACAATGTGCAGGTGAGAGACGCGCGGGGCATGCTGGGCTTGCTGCGACAAACTTTTGTTGCAGGCAAACGGGAAGAGCCGAAATGACCCAGATGTGACAAAGTATTGTCCGTGCCCCAATTGTGGACATTTGGCTCCACTTGCGCCCCCGAGTGCCGTGTTGTCTGGCACGCCTTTGAGGCTGTACCACACCGCCCGAAAACTCGGGAACCTGCAATGCAGGGCCATTGCCTCATACCAAGTACGTGCAGGCGCGGCGCCACCAAGCTAGCAACCCAAAGGAAGGGACACGCTGTTTTTGGCACCCGGCAGGCGGTGCACCAGTTCTGCCCTGGCGTATATGCCTTTGCCTATGATGACGGACGGCAGAGGGATGCTGTTTCATGATGTTTCATGAGCCTGGCAGCAAATTGCCAAACTGCTGTACTGGAGAGGACAGGGGCTGTTGCGCTGCTCCTATGGCCTGGGTCTCACTCCTGCAGCTTTGTCCTCCGGCAGTCAGAGTACCGAGGTCAGTACAGACTCACTTTTATGTGCCCTGGAATTCCACTCTCGGAGCAGAAGTTTGAGGAAATCAAAGATGCAGTAAAGGACGCTGACTCCAGATGTGTTCGCAGCCTTTTGACAAGCCTCGTGTAGCTGCGAAGGACTCGGAGCTCATCTTTTCCGTCGGCGGTGCGTTGACATTTGTCCTCTTCGCCTTCGGCCCAGAAAGACATAGAAAGACATTATTGCACACGGCTTCCATTTCACATTCTTTGGCCTTGTTTGTGCTTGGCCTGGCCTCAAATCAAAGGCAGCGGCCCTCGGCGTTGGCCTCGCTCTGGTCGCGGTGCAAAGCTCCCGCTTCCGTCGCGCGGACCTCTGTGCTGCATTGTGCTGCGTGCGGTGGGCCAGATACAGGCAACAATTCCCACATCCGCGGTGTTCCGGTCCAGGCCTTGCCACGCAGAACCGATTGCGAAGCTCTTTTGAAGATCTTCCTCCTGAAGAGTGATGGGCGACGGTAAAGCTGTTTGCAGGACATGTGCGAGACCTGACCAGTAGACAATTCCAGTATTTTCCAGTCACAAGCGCTGATCTCGTGCATCCTCTACGCAGAATACAAGGTAGTGAGCTGCCAATCGGACACGAGGGCCGAAGTCAAGTAGTTGCAAGTTGCACATAGGATCGGAATAGCGATCACTTTCAAGTTTTCTGTAGGGGATTGCTAAAGCTGCATCCCAAGCTAGCTTACAAGAGCCATTCTGCCGCAGAATAAGACGGCTGCTGCACTTTGCAGGGCGGCTTGATTGCATGAACCCAGACGGTTGTGGTTCCTGCAGTCCCAAAGTTCTGCAGGCTGGGTACACGGAAAGCAGGGGTTCTTCGGTGAAGCGAACCATTTGCAAGTTCTGGGAGGAGATCTCGCGCTGTTGCGTGCGCACTTGGAAAGCGTGCAAAGCCTCGTGGTGTTGCGCCAACATGATCACCTGTCAGGAGGGCACCTGCAAGAACGGATCGAACTGCCACTTGGACCGAACTGTTGGCAGACAGTCTTGACAGATCTTGATTTTTCTGTGTAGCTGCAGCTTGCCGGCAGGCATTTTTAGACTGTCCAGGTTTTCCCCTCAAGCACGGTTTGTCATTGCAGCTCACGACTCACGGGCATGATGAATTGCTGGCCATAGATTTCAGCGCCGTGTGTTCGGGGCCTTTTGGGTAGCCGAGGCACCTGGGCACACGGTGCGCCCAACCTGCACAGATTCAAGCTCTTCGGCACTTCAGAGCTTATTGTGATAGCATCGGGATGTATCGGCAGATGTGACGACAATCCTGCAGTTTTTTCGCATAAGATGTTTATCAAGGAAGATACCCATGGTTGTCGAGTTGCAGAGGCAGAATGACTACACTAAACAGTCTTTTGAGGCAATCTCCAACTGCTAGACTGAGGAAGTCTGCCAAGTCTTCACTACCTTCAGACAAGCATCCTGAGAGTGCGTGGTGTGAAACGCGCTCAAGCAGACTCAGAGCACCTGAAACCGTATAAGATCAGAAGCCGTTCCCCTAAAGTGCGACAACAGACGCCTCAAGTGCAGAAGCACCTGGACGACCTTGAAGGAACAGTGTCGGGGTTTTAGGTTAGAGGTGGAGGTTTGGAGGCCGAAGAGGCGTTCCTGATTCGCTGCACTTTCACCAGTCGGATCATGGTTTCTAGTAGGGTTTGATTTTGATTCAATTTGAAGGTCTGCTCGAACTTGTTGGCCGACTGCATTCAACCTCAAGCTCCTGTAGTCGCTCTTTCCAAACCTGGGTAGTCAGAAGGCATCTGACACTGCATACCCAGGAGTTTCGCAGGTTCATCCAAACAACTTTGCAGTATGGAATGGGGCTGAGCCGGGCCTGAGATGATTCGCGGCTCTGCTGCGCGGCCGCAAGCACTGCAGGCATTAAAGTTGTTGCAGAAGTTGCAGACTCTGCATGCACAGCTGGGGTCGCGCAGCTTGCGGCGGCAGGATGTATGCATCCTTCATGGCTCCCTGCGAAAAACAGGCACAGCGGTACATCGGAGCTTGACTCAGCTCGAGTAGCCTCCACGTCTATCAGGCCGCCCTCAGAAGCTGGACTTTCAGCTGGCAGGCCTCGATGCAGTGTGGGATAGGGGCTCTGAAGACTCTAGGACACTTGCTTACACGTCAAGACCATGTTTTGTCTTGGGCCCTAGCCGTTTTTGTTTGGCCCAGTCTGAGGGTAGGAGAAGGTTTTGGGAAGTTTCCGCATGTCGGAGCTCCGGCAGCCTCGGCTGCCATCAAAGAATCGGAGATTTCCACCAGCTCCACGGGCTCCGCTGGGCAGCCGAGTGCTGGGTGATGCGAGCGAGACGAGCCAGGGCAAGGTAGGTAAGGTCCAGAGCCCAAGCTGCCCAAGCTGCCCAAGCAGCCCAAGCAGCCCAAGCAGCCCGAGCAGCCCGAGCAGCCCGATGAGTGCTTCCAGCGCCAGCAGCGAGGCAAGGGAGGCAAGGGAGGCAAGCGCAGCGAAAGGGTCAAGCGTGGCCAGCGCGAGCGCGAAGAGGCCGCTAAGTGCCAGCTTGTCATTCCCAGTCTCAGTCTCAAAGGCTCAAGCGCCCGCAACGCTGACTCAGCTGGTGGATGAAAGGCAACGAGAACGCCAAGTGCGTGAGCGTCTTCAGCTGGGGCCTGCGCTGCACTGGAGTCGTCAACAAGAACGTCTGCAGCATGCTGCCCTCAGCCTAGACCAGAGTCCAGAACCTTAGCAGGCTTGAGTGCCAGTTTGGACGGCCTTTGCACCGTCTTTGCTGCAAGTTTTTGAGAAGATTAGTCAGAGATGGCTTGCCGTCAGTATTATGTTGCAGACCATCTGCCTGCGTTCGCTCATTCCCTCACGTCCAAGAGACGTTTGAGAGAGCAGCTTTCCCTTCAAAAGGACAGTTTTTACTAGACGATGGTATGTTAACAACGTGTAGTTTCCGCAAATTTTGGTGGCCGCACGTCTTGGCCTTCCGTCTGAGCAACGGAAGTTTCAATCAAATTCGCATGTGCGTCGCAGCTCTAATTCGACAAGGTGGCTGGTCCGTTCTGGAATGGATATGGCCAGCCACCTGCTCACGATTTAGTCGCAGCTTCGTTTTGTGGACTGACTATAAGCACAGCAGAGCCGCCCTTGCGCTTTAGCTGGCGCCTGCGAGTCCTGTTGTGCCATCGAGACAGCCCGCATGGAACGATGCGCAGGATTCGGAGCAACAACAACTTGATTTGCAAGTATTTGAATGCTCTTGCGTGCTACATGGTGAAGACCTTTGGATGCCTCATGGCAGTGGACATGGTCTTGTAGTTGTAGGAGTCACGCCAACCTCCTTGCCAGGTGCTGGCATGCTGGTTTTGACGGCCGTTTCCGACCCAGATTAGATCAAGCTCTGCTTCACAAGGATAGGGATCGAATTGTATTATACACGTGGCATCTACCTGCACAGAAGATGGCTTATTCCTGTGACAGATATCCTGGAGTTGGGCTTGCACCAAGGTGCCAATGTCGAGGCGATGGTGCGTGCAAGCGCTGGTCCGTCGAAAAAGGATGGGGCCAAGCCAAGTGGACTCCGTGCGAAGTGCAGTTTTTCCGGTGATAGGATGGTGCCGGTCTACGGAGGCTTGGCCTTTTTTTTTTTTTTTTTTTCGTATGGCTTCTAGACAGCGTGAAGTGCGCACGCTCTGAAACAGCAGTCGTATACCCCCAGACAGGCCGCTGTGTACCTGCTCGACAAGCCCTCCAAAGCTCCTCATCGTGGTTTGTGCATGTTCGTGCTCGTGTGAGTAGCCCGGGTCTCCCTGGCAGAGAAGCGCGCTAGATTATGCCAAAGGTGCTTCCAATGGTAGCATACTCGGCATGCTGACGCCGGACGATGCGTGGAACTTGGATGTCTCGTCCATCACATGCCCTTGTTCGCAGAATTAGGCAGGTTGAGATAATCAAGCAAGCATACCCATATTGCTTGGAGGTTGACAGCTGGGAAGACGAAGAGGCAACAGCTCGCCAAGAAACTGGCAAAGCACCGCGTTTGTATGCTTGAGTGCCAGGAGTGGTTGGAAGGCTTCGACGAGGATCTCCAGAAAGGCATCGAGGCCTTTTGAGCATGCAAGCGCTTTTTTGTTTTTTTTTTTTTGCCTTCCTTGCAGGAGGCTCGTGATCGACACCAGCGTGCCCTGACCGCAGGGCGTGCGAGCCCCAGAGACGGTGTTGATAGTGCGCGTGCGAGCGGAAAGTCATGGAAATTGGATGAGCTGCATAGTGCTGCATGCCTTTTCTGATGCCACAGCCAATTCCATGCAGCCGCATTCGTACAGGGGGATGCAGCCGAGGAGCTGCCGGCCATGAACCTGTTCTGTTGGTACCAACCATGCAGTGGCTTTTCCCAGACCACTGCCTCGCTACCGATGATGAGCTGAGTGCCCCCTCTGCCATAAAATCCAATCCTTTCCTTCCCTCATGTTTTGGAGCAGAGAGGCGTTCGATCTGGTAACGAGTTGTACAAGGGCCTCTATGTTGTCAGAGCCTTGGATATGTTGGATATTGCATGGACAGCGTGTGTCTCGAAAGACCTTACAGGATTGCACCTTTGGACGTGGCGGCTACAGCCGAGAGATCCTGTCACGCATCAGCGAGGATGGCTCGCCCTTGAATTTTGTGTTTTTTCACTGCTCTTTCCAATCACACCGTCTGAAAGCACACCTGGCAGGACGGGAGGCTTGTCGCTTTGGATGTGGACCCCACCTGCCTCCAACAAGGCAGTCATTGGCAGCTGCATGATGTGAGGTGGCCGTTCCTCTGACTTGGCGCAGGTCGTTTACTGGAGGAGGATGACTCCAGGCTCGTCTGCACAGCTGTCTCGCCTAGGCTCCTAGGATTCCCAAACGGCCGAGCTCGTTGTGAACATGTGAGCACGTGAACACGAGCTTTCTATCAGCTGCAGGTTTTGCTTCCTTTCACGGTCCTTTGCGGTGCAAGCCTCGCTCTGCTTGGCCTTGCAACGTGCGGCGTGCAAGCGTGAGCAAGGACTTGGATACACTCTTTGGTGGAGAGGAGCCCGAGGCAGGTGCAATTGGTTTCAGTCCAAGCCAATCGGATGACATCACTCCAGTTGGCGGACATCATGTCGGAGGTCGGAAGGCCCCAGGGTCTAGTGTGAGGAACCCGGCTGGAAGACAAGCTGCAATCGTAGCATGTGCTGACGGCGATGGCGGGCTTCAGGTTTGACGTTGGAGTGTCAAGCGTCCAGCCCAAGCCTCAATGTAGTAAACACGAAAATGCTGCTAGTACTGCCAGTGCCATCATTCCGAAGGGTGGATGATAAGAGCCGCGGGTTCAACATGTCCAACCTGGCCCGCTCGACGGACAGCTCTTCAACACGTAGTGCCAGCTTTGCACGGGGCAGATCCGGGCACCATGTGCTCAGTCAGCTTATGGAGGACACCCGCCTGGACCTGCGCATGAACCCAGAGAGTGGCCCATCTGCAGCTGAATGGCTGCAGGTCCAACTCTGACAGTGCATCACGGCATGCAACACAGCTTCTCTGTCAGGGTGCGTCGGCAGAGGAGATCGCATGGGTACTGCGCAAGTACGGCGATGATTTCCAGGCTGAATGTGAATGGATGTAGTTTACAGAGTTCCAATGGCGAGACACCGCTAGGTGGAACTGGAGGCTGAGAGGATAGCGCAGGCAGGATAAAAGCGCAACGATCAGGCTGATGCGCAACTGCTGCATGCCAGTTAATCTTCGATGACCAGCAAGAGAGCCAGCCTGCCCAGTTTGTCATGTACCTGCGTTCAACCATCTTTGTGCCACTTGCATGACAGATGGTCCTTTCCATTCCATGCAGCGCTTTGCAGAGCTTGTTGGGCAAGCAAAGATTGCGGAAGTCCCAGCAAGTCTGCGTTTCCTGGATTCCTGGATCGCACAGGGACATGAGCGTGTGTGCTGTGCAGGTAGGTGGGGAGGAATTTGAGCATACGGTTCGAGGCCTCAGCCTTTAGGCTTCCTGTCCCGAAGTGGCCTGTGCTGTTCTACTGAGAGGCAAGGAGCATCCGGCCCGTTTGACTGTGCAGGCTCCTGCTTGCTTGCTCGGGCCTACATTTCTCTACGTTACGGAAATTCTGAGGCGATACGCCTGTTCCTAAACTCCGAGTTGGAGGAATTGCAAGACGGCTTGCGTCCCAGGCACTGGCTGGCAGGAAACTTCAGTGTTCTTAGCACTTAGGTTCAGCGAAAGATGCTGCAACTGGGTGGGGTCATATAGTAGGATTTCAACACAGATGTCAAGACTTCAAGGATTGTTCGAGTCAGAGTGCACACTTTGGCTAGGTTCCGCAAGAAGGATGCCCCCGAAATGAACAACCAAGCACAACAGCTCGCCTGGAGCATGTTTTTTGGCAAGCTCGCGTTCTCCATTCTCGATTGAGGGCCTGTTAAAGGGGCCAGCTTCAGTCGAGTATTTTCAATCGAGCAGCAGATGCTGCAAGCAATGTCCTGCAGGGCACCATCAACACCTCGGGGCAACATCAGGAAATTTGAGGTGCAAAGACGGAAAAGAAGGAAAGACTGGCCATTGGAAAAACTTGGTAACATTCATGACAGACGTTCATCATACGTTTGTTCTCTACTCACACTTTTGGCTGCTCATGTAAAGCATTGTCATTATAAAGGGGGTGGTAATATTGAAGTTTCCCTAGCCAGAGAACATCCTCAGACCGAGGAATTTTAATCCCATGGTTTGCTTGATTGACTTTATGCAAATATTGGGCGGTCAGGGGTTGGTGTTTATGAAGGGGCGGTAATAATGAAATTCCCCGGCCACAAAATCTGAAAAAAATGGTAGCTCGTGTCTGAAATCCAATTAACATCAATTAACATCCTGCACCTCGTCCATCACCTACACTTACAATTGAACCCTCCTCCTACTACTATTACTACTCCTTCTACTACTTTTCTTGCACAGGCAACAGAAAGTGCCTAGGCGCTATGCTCACATCTCCCAGGAGCCAGGCTCAATTGAAGGAGGAGTACATTAACTACGTGAAACGGTTGGGGAAAAAGAGCCACCTTCTTTGAAGGGCTTGTGGGTGAGCAATCCCTAGCTCTTTTGCCTACCTTCTGCTGCTGCTACTACTTCTTCTTCTTCTTTACTACTACTACTACTACTATTATTATTATTACTATTATTAGTATTATTAGTATTATTACTATTACTATTACTATTACTATTACTATTACTATTACTACTACTACTACTGCTACTACTACGATTAGTACTACTATTATTATTATTATTACTACTACAACTAACAACAACAAAAACCACAACAACAACAGCAACAACAACAACAACAACAACAACAACAACTACCACTACTATTCCATTCCAGCACAGCC